TTATATCTCTGCACCAAATCATCCGATTTTAGTAAGATTTTTTTTTTAATTTTCAGGGAGTTCATGAAGCTTTTCACTAATAATGGGCATACTCCAACAAAAATTGAATACTTTCTGAATTATTCGCAGTGCTCTTTTCGAGGAAGCATGTTTTATACATAGCTTATTAGGACTTCAAGGAGAAGACTTTAGCCAAGTTTAATTAAATCTTTACAGCCGTTTATGTGCTACAGTCAATAGCGACGATAATTTTGTCCGGAGGGTAATTAAATATATACAAAAACACTCCGTTGTATAGAAACGTTTCGTAAATATATGAAAGCAATCTGTGAAGAAGTTGCGGATATTAGTGGTTTTGAACAAACGAACATTTTCGTTTTTATTAACATAGATTAATAATATTTGATTTTTATTATTATACAGTATATAATAATATTTTGAATATTTAATAGTTGACCGTTGCATAATAAAGGAAGGAGATGGTCCGGGGTTGCGGTCATAAATAGGCTAAATAGTGGTAAAACTATTTTATGGTATAAAATATAATATAAAATAGTTTTACCACTATTTAGCCTATTTATGACCGCAACCCTGGACCATCTCCTTCCTATAATAATATTTTATACATTATTTTTTTCATTTCCGATTTTTCCTTTGTTTTTTTACTTAAAAAGTTTTTCCTTATGTGGTGAGTGATTACTCTGTCCATAAAGCAATTCCACGTGTCTAAAAAATCAGAATCACCAGTATAAATAACCATTATTACAATGTGATGAGATATTTAGTGGAATGCTCTCAATCCCATAAAATTACAGGCATACCAAATAAATTAGAAAGAAAAAAAAAACATAAGGAATGGGGCGATATTCTTCTTAATGCTCTTCGAAGGATTCAAGTAATCGAAAATCCTTGAATGAAATCTTAGCCAACATTTTCCGCAATAAAAATTGTGAGGGACTTATGAGTTTTTCCACTCCATTTACTTTTGAAAGTGACTTGAGCCTGAGGTGAAGTATTAAAAGCACACTACACGAATAGGCAATCCCATGATTTCCCGGGAGAGGGAATGCTATCGGCAGAGATGAGTTTTGTTCTGAGGACTCGAGCAGTCCCTGGTGCCTCTTTCACTCCGCTTCTTCAGTCATCAGGCACAGAATGATGCTGCAAATATATCATCGCTCTTGTAGAGAGGCTAGAAAATACCTTTCAAATTTACTTCCTGAGTTATCAGTATCTTTCTAGTATTGAATATAATAAATTAAATTAAGGAAGGAGATGGTCCCGGGTGGCGGTCATAAATAGACTAAATAGTGTAAAAATTACCCGACTTTGCGACGTGTAAACGTTTCTACCCGACTTTGCAGGTCATCAGGGCTAGAACGGACAAGATATAAAAAGATATGGAAAATTGTGGAACTTACATCGTATTTAGATAAAAAATTGTGGAAGTTATCTAAATATGATGTAACTTCGACCATTCTCTATATCTTTTTGTATCTTGCCCGTTCTAATCCTGAAGAAGACCTGCAAAGTCGGGTCGAAACGTTGGCTTTTAATAAAATGGTTTTGCTACTGCTTAGTCCATTTATGACCGCCATCCCGGACCAATATCTTTCTTTAATAATGTTTCATACGGGTTTCGGGAGACTCCAGCAAGTACTTTTTATATAAATATTGTTGACTAGTTAATACTCGTTTAATGTTATTGTGAGTTTAGTACTACTAGTAAAAAAACAAAAATATTGTTAATCTAACCTATACCATAGTAACATACATAATACACATAGAACTATTTTAAGAATTTGCCACACCTCCAAAGAATTCGTGACGTATATCGGCATCATTCCAGTAGATTGTTTCATACGGGTTTTGGGAGAGTCCAGCAAGTACTTTTTATATAAATATTGTTGACTAGTTAATACTCGTTTAATGTTATTGTGAGTTTTAAAAAACGGCTAATGTCTACTAGTAAATCCTTTGAAAGAATTTTTGTATATATTTTTTCAGATGAATATTCACAATGTATTCTAAAATCAGTTTTTATCCCTGAAGTTTTCTGGAGAGATGAACATTTTAATAAATCTATATAAATAAGATAAAGGTTTTGTCTGTACATTGAATAGAATCAAAACATTACAGACACCAAATCCACTTTTAAAATATTTTTTTGCCTGTCGGTATGTCGGCATTGTCTAACGAAATTTCGCCAGGAGTAAGCTCAGCAACGACTAATGGTACACTTTTGACATTATATTTAGGTTTGCTTAAATAAATTAACATAGGCTTAAATGAAAAAAAAAAAATATTGAGTAGAACAAAAGTTATGAATTCTTGAGTAATTTGTCAATAGATCCCGGTTAAACAATTACTTACTTCAATTCTCATCCCGACCTACTCTATCGCAAGCCATATTTAAACGTCGTACTATTCAACTGATGGAAAAATTATCACAACTCAAACGGCAAAAATAAAAAATCCCAAACATCTGTAACGCGTTGTCGCTTAAAAAATAGATAAAACAGACTCAGTTTTTAACTTTATCCGATCTTCCAGTTTAAGGTGTCATTCGATTCAACTTCTCGAGCCTGACAAATGTTGTCGAATACATTTTTAGGATTAACCAAACGGATTAGATAGAAACCGAAAAAAAAAACTCTAAAATTAAATTTAGATAATAACCCTCCCACTCTATTTTATGAAATTAAATTTAGTTTCTCCTTCCCCCCCTAATTATACTCTTAGTGTGAGTTAGAAGAATATTCACGGATTTAAATCAACTCCTTGTTAGATGCTATCTCAACTGTTAAAATGCGAGGAATATAATGTAACCAAAATCTTGAAAAATAATTTTTCTCATGCCGAACGGTTTTTAAACGAAACTTATCGCTCAGTTAAAATATTTTACTATCCTTATTGACATTAAACTTGAAATGGACAGTTATTGACGTTGTATATCGGACCATTAGTCTGAAGCGATGAGTTGGTTGATGGGGATCAGGCCTAACATGTATTACATGTCATATGCATTGCTGATCATGAATATTGGTTGCGCTAATATGGTGATTAAGAGGATAGGGTGCCAAACACAGGCTGGGATAGACTATGTCCCAGGTAGTTTTTATGGTAATGAGACCATAGCCTTCATGTCCTGTCATGATATGGCTGTATATATATATATATATATATATATATATATATATATATATATATATATATATATATATACAGCCATATCATGACAGGAAATATATATATAATTCATGTTGAAGTTTCGTTAAAAATTTCTGCGATTAAACGTAAATGCTTTGAAGGCATCTTAAGAAAAAAAAATCTGGTGCACGCAACACACAACTTTCACTTACCGCTCAACTTTGAACAGAAATTATTTTCTGGCCATATTGGGCTATTATAAAATTTTTGAATTGCATTTTTAACCGACCTAAATCTAAAAAAATACAGCGAACAAACCACAAATACCGTTAAAATAACAAGAGTCCTATTTATTATATCACTGGTTGATTATGGACTGTACGATCCCTTAATTATGGATTGCACGATCCATTGATTATGGATTGCACGATCCATTGATTATGGATTGTACGACTATTAGTTATTAATCTGTTGTTTTCCATTGCAAAGTTTGCTAAAACGGAATTAAGAGATTTGCATTGTCTGTCATATACAAGTCAAAAGTTGTCTCACTAATTGGAATAGCAATTGTAATTGTAATAGCAAAGGGAAAATTTATCAAATTATTCACTAATTTAATTTTCTAAAAGGTTACATGCTGATTTTTCGGAATAAACGGATGATAAATACCTAAATATTTAAATATAATATCAGATCTAGAGTTATTACACTATAGTAAATATATCTAAGGTTATAAACGTATCTATGAAATATTTTTATATTTTACTTTTTCTTTCACACAAGTACAATGAAATAGTAGTGGATTATCACAAATGAAATAAAATTCTCTTTCCAATGATATATTATAAGTATACCTTCTGACTTGTATTTCTGGAGATTCATTTTCGATCTGTATAAGCATTTTTATTTTTTTCTCCTTTATTCAATTATCAAATTATTTCAAAAGTTATATTTAGCAATTCTTCGTAACTTTTAATAATGAGAGATAGTTTATTATTTAAAATACACCATATTAAAGGTACTTTAGAGGAAGACGCGTATGAACATTGGGCATTTAGCCCCTGTAAAGTGACATCAACGGGGATAAGACTTAAATTATAATTATACAATGATAAACCGAGTTTATATCAAAATCGTTAGAGCCGTTTTTCAGAGATTTGTAAAAAAAAGTGTTTCATCGTTGATATAAAGTGGCACTTCCGGTTAGCCGATTTTAAGGAAAAAGTTGCCAGTGAATCTAAGGCATACACCTATCTTAAATATGTAATATCAGTTTCGTACGACTTTTCGGTTGCGAACTAGAGTGTTCACATACACACAGACACATAGACCATTTTTCGGGACTTGTTGATATTTGGACTCAGGAGACCTCAAAACGTGTATTTCCGTTGAAAACTCAGATTCAAAAATTGTCTCGAACGCAATACTTACGCTTACTATTTATTACATATATAGGTAATTGAAAGTAAAAAGGAAACAAAGTTTTGATATACGTTTAGTTATACTCTTGTCTTCATTTTGCGTCCTTCAAGTTTCCTGAATTTGGTTTTACTGGTTAGTTATTTGAGAGGCTTGAGGATTTTTTTAAACATTATTATAAAACCTTTAAATTTTTAAACTATTGCATCCTTTAATATTAATTATGAAAAAAAAAAACACGTGGGATGTCGCTATGAGGCAGGACGTGAATACGGAGCGATAGCCGTGACAGGCGGAGTGTAACTGCTCCTTGGACTGGAACTAACAGAGGACTACTAAATATAAACTAGAAGCCCCCCTGGGCTCTAGCCCTCATCGCCGCCCCAATATATATAACTCCCACCTCCCTCTCTCTGCTTCCTACCTCTATTATTCAATTATTTATTCCTAATACTTACTGTAAAAGAAATTAATGAATACATCCCTAAAACTTAGTCATGATCTAACAAGTCCATCTGGTCGAAGGGCAGAAATTTTAGATGGTGTATTTGGAGTAGTATTGCCCAAAGGCGAGACCGAGACCGAGTCTTGGTCTTGCAAACTCAGTCTTGGTCTTGAGCAAGTGTCTCGCAACAGTCTTGCAGTTACTTATTAGCTTATTCCTATAGAGTTATTACTGTTTTTTTTTTTTTAGATAGGAGAAACCTAACAAAGCCCGAATGAAAAATTAGAGGAGTTAAATGCAAAAGTATATTGTTTATACCAATTATTAACATGTAGTAACTAAGATTGTCAAGTATTAGTAACTATATTGCCTTAATTTTTATTCAAACAATCGATTTTTTTTACCAGTCCTGGTCTTGTTCTTGCATCAGTTAGGCGGTCTTAGTCTTGCAAAATGCAAGACCATGAGTTTTTTTTTGAAACACTAATTTGGAGTATCCTTAGTCTAAATTTTGCATCAAATTTTGGAATTTTTGCTTTTATTACCTGAGTTTGACGAATTCTTGCAATTTTTTTTTTCAAATTCGTTATATCAACCGGAAATGAGGTATTATTTAATGCTAAGTAGATATTGGTCACATTGGCATATCTGACTGCGGCAAACTAACTTTTGTTTACTAGAAAAAATCAACATTCTTATATTATATGCAGTAATAATAAATGGATAAATAAAAGATATAAAAGAATTTGATAATTAACTAATGAAGAAATAAGGGTTGATATAGTGAGAACGAGAACTACCGATGAAACCCGAGCGCGATCGAGCTTTACATGGTTTTTTCCTGAGACTATGATGTCCCCAAACATATATAATCTATTCTACATCATAGATGATGAAGGTGCGGTATCTGATAACACTATGTACATATACATGTGTTGTTTTCATAAATGCTACAATTAATTAATATTTAATTATATATATTATGGCAATATGAAAATTTAAATTTGTACATAAACCTACCTAGACTTAAACAAATAAAGATACTCTAAATATAAATTAATTTAGAAACTCTAAATATAAATTAATATATTTGCCTCCTTTATCAATGGCCCTCTTAGAGGATTAATAAAATTTTGTGGCATACAGATGAGGTGGGAATATCGTTCCATCTACCAATATTTCGAAGAAAAAAAAAATGAATCTATATGAATGAATAAAAAAATTAAACCAAAACCAATAAAAAAAATAGAGCGGTACGCAAATATTTTACCACGCCCTATATCCCTATCATTGAAATTTTAGTTTATATTAAAAAATAATTATATGCACCGCAACATATCCGAGGATTTTATGATTCATATGTGCACCCTTCCATTTTTACATGAAGATTTTCTCACATTTCAGCAAGTTTGAAACATCGTACAATCGAGAGTTCATCTCACTCCCTCAAACCTTCAAATAAAAAAAAACCTAATAAATAATATATTCAATTGTTTTGTTTGCTTTGTTCAACTTATTTTCAACTAAACCTATGCACAAAAAAAAACCAAAAAAAAAAAACCTAATATATGAATATGTATATATATATATATATATCTTTTTTTTAACTTAATTTTTCTTAAGTGTTAAGGCGTCACCCACTTTAGCATTCTCGAGTCTAGCGACTTTGCATTGAAATTTACTTATTATACTGACCCACGTAATGATTCTCTACTTCCTTACTCATGTTAGAATACGTTTTTATATCATTTAAGAATTTACTTATACTTTAAATTGTTTTTTCATTGTCTGTAAGTCTTTTAGTAATAAAGGAAGATGTTTCTGTCGTCAGTTTCTTTCCGTATTTACTTCATTTTTTTTTTATTGATTTTTAGGACGATCGTAGAAATATTTTTCATAATGCACTAATGAATGGCCTTGGATCCGGCCCTCGGCAGCATAAACAATGATAGACGATATGGATGATGGATGAGTAATTAATGTTCATTGATTCCTGATAGATCACCTGAAACTAAGGATCCAAGTTTGAAACTAGCTACACTATCCTGGATTCAATCTTGAGCACTATCGATTTTCTTATTTTCAATTCTTTTATTATTGCATTTCTGTCTCTGGGCTTTTGTTTTTATTACCTAGCATTCCCATTCGCCGTTTGCCAACCTTAATTATTTTGAAGTAATTCTCCAAATAACAAGACATTCGTATATATGGTGTCTCATTTCTTAATGGCCAAACTATGGGGGTGATTCTAGAAAAAAACTTCCAACAAAATATTTCATTTGATTCATAGGCCGATTCCAAAGGAAAAGAGGTTAAGACGAATTTTGTATTTTTATTAACGAAGTCGCTGATGACACTGCTATCCTTTCTTCCAACTCAGATCCTGAAACAGCGTCCGCAAACTTACAAAGGCACCTCTTCCTGATTGAACTGTGGTGTAAGAAATGGCGCATCAAGGTAAACGAATCTAAATGTCAACACATTACCTTCACTCTTCGGCGTAATACCTGCCCATCAGTTTATTTTAACTCCATCCAGCTTTCTCAGATACAGTCCGGTATCTTGGCTTTCTCTTAGACAGACGACTAACATGGAATCCACATACTAAACTTAAAAGACAGGAACTTAACAGACGATATGGCCAGCTATATAGACTACTAAATAGAAAATCTAAACTTTCTGGTGAAAACAAATTACTGATCTACAAGACAATACTGAAACCCATCTGGACTTACGGACTAGAACTATGGGGAACAGCTAAATTTTCTAACATCAAACGCATTCAATCCTTGCAGTCTAAAGTCCTCCGTACAATAGTCGATGCTCCCTTCTATGTAACCAATAAAACCCTACATTATGACCTTAATATCCCATTTATTCTTGATCTTATCCCAGCCAAATTTTCCAAATTTCACCAGAACCTTTCTCATCACCCAAATCCCGTTGTACAATCCCTATCAAGCACCACCCATCCCTACAATCCCCTTCGTAGGTTAAAGCGGCAGTGGCCACGAGACTTTTTGTAAATATGGATATTTTGGAGTTCTAGCAATGGCCAGATTCTCCACTCAAGTCATGAGTGTCTGTGGCTGTAGCGCTCTTACTCATCCTCCGCTGGTTTTAAATACTAGTGAAGTGGCTGAGGGAGAAGCGTAGGGATCTCCTAAGCCTCCCTTTTCCCTCCACATGTGGAGGGGACAGGATTGGTTCGGAGATCACCTGGCAAATTGTAAATAATGTATATAGGTATGCTTTATATAAAATGTTTGTTTTACTTTTATTTCTATTTTTATTTACTTATGTGTATATATATATTTTTTTCTTTACTCTTTTGTTCTTTTTTCTTATTCTTTTGTTATTACTTTATTTATTTATGTTTTTGTATATACGGTATGAATGCACTCTCTGAACTCTATTATAAGTGTCCTTAAACTGTGACAAATTGTAATATTTCTGAATAAAGTGTTTAATAATAATAATAATTAACGAAGTCACGATTTTTATTCAACAGGAAGCAATTACTCGAAAACTGTTCAAGATAATTAAATATTAAATTACACAATCGTAAAGTATACAACATTTTTTAAGAATTGGTTAACTTTAGTATGCCCGATGATATAAGTGACTTTCAGGAAGTCTAATATGGCCTCTATAATGCTGATGTTACAAGTAGCATGTCTCTTTACAGTGGCCGTATTCGACCTCCTAAACATCTCTTTATCGTCGAATTTAGTAAATTTAATCACTCTTCCCTTTTAAAAAATGTTGTCTTGACATTACGATGGTTTATTTAGAATTGAATTATCTTAAACAGTTTTTGTGCAGGAATAACACAAAATTGATCTTAACTCCTTTTCCGGTCGGAATTGGCTCACGCATCAAATGAACTTTTGTTGGAATTTTCTCTAGAACCACCCTTCCCCTCCCTCCCCAGAGTATGGTCATTAGGAACTGACACCCTCTATATCTCTATGGTTGAAAATGTCCCAGATTACGAACAGCTTCAGAGGAACCCTGAACGCCTTAAGGAAGCCTACCATTATAAGCGGCGATATCTTGGTCCATTTGGCGCACTCATCCCTTATCTCCATTCTGTGGTAATAAAGCCGAGGCTTTGGTCTCTTTTACAGTTACCTCTTCACGTGTCTTTTCCTGATGGCAGTTCACCATCCGCAACGGTAGGTTTATTATCCTCCTACAATGGGATGCGTAGGATCTTAAAAGTTTGCTCTATTGTTCAGGTTTTTATATATTTATTTTCGTTTTATGGTCAAGTGAGGATATAAAATTAATAGAATCATAAAAATTATTGTTAACAAAAATATTTTATAAAGTATGATCAGGAATTAATATGGTCTCTAACATAAATTTTTATTTATTTATTAAATATTACAACATTCTATCAATTGGACATTGGTTATATTGAGGTAAGATCACATTCACACTAAATGAACAAAAAAAATAAATAAATAAACAGAAGCAAAATAATATTCTAAAAGTACACACCTACAATAAATAAAATTAAAAATAAGAAAATTGAAAAAATCGAAAAACACATACACACCTATATACATTATTTACAAACAAGCGAGGGAACTACGAGGCAGGTAGTCCTTGCTTCACATAGTTGGAGGGAAAAACAGAATTCATGGAGATCCCTGCGCTACCATCTCAACTGCGTCACTGGTACTAAATCCAGCGGAAATTGATCGTAAGCGTTTCAGCCACTTACACTAATGTCTTGATTGCAAAATCTGACAATATCTTACCAGAACTGCAGCTTTTACCTTCTTGGGAGATTACAGGGGTAGACGGTGCTTAATAAGGATAGTGCAAGGGGATTTGGATGATACTTAGGCTTGTGGTGAAATTTTTCTGGGATAAGGTCAAGGACAAATGCGATGTTGAGGTCATGGTCTAGTGTTTTGTTGGTTACATTGAAAGGAACATCGAATATTGTTCGAAGGACATTGGAATGAAAGGATTCGATGCAAATATAAAATTAACTACATTAAAGATTCATAATAGATTTCAATGGTGCTTAAGATATTGTTTCAATATTTTTTTTACCATTTAAAAGATTACTGCCGTTCGTTGAATATAATGAAATACACGTTATTTACTTTTCTTGTTAAATAGAGATTTTATTTTATTAGATAGAATTCTGCAAATGATTAATGTATTAAAGGTACAGTTTTTGGTCAGTTTCA